GGGGGGGGGGGGGGGGGGGGGGGGGGGGGCAGATTGTTCCAAAGTTTATGGCCCACGATTGAAAAAGCCCAATCTCCTCCGAGCTTCAACCTGGTTTTTGGTACAACCAAAAGCAGCTGGTCAGATGATCTCAGCGCCCAAGAAGGAACATATGGTTGAAGTAGCTCAGAGAGATATGAGGGTGCAAGGACATTTATGGATTTAAAGGTCAATAGAAGAATTTTAAAATCAACTCTGATATGTACAGGGAGTCAGTGAAGGGAGGACAAAACTGGTGTAATGTCATCAAACCTTCTAGTTCCTGTTAAAAGCCAAGCTGCAGGATTTTGGACAATCTGGAGACGTGAAAGGGAGACCTGACTGACCCCAACATAAAGCACGTTACAGTAATCAAGATGGGTTATAATGAAGCCAGGGACTAGTTTTGCAATGTCAGGTCTGGTCCACACTAACTTCAGTTTAGCTATTTGTCTTAACTGGTAGAAACTTTTCTGCAGAACAGAGTTAATCTATTTATTAAAATTAAAATCAGAGTCTAAAACCATCTCGAGATTTGTAAAGTACTGCGTAAGATAGGTCTCAAGAGAGTCAAGCTTTACAGAAACAGACAGCAGCAGCGCTAGGACTAAACACAATAACTTCAGTGAAAGCCATCACATGAGATAGGCTAAACTTTGCAGACAAAAATGACGTTTTCACTCTTATTCCTTTTGTTAAATAGTAAGTGGATTGTACTTATATAGCACCATCCTATCTTATCAAGATACTCAAAGCTCTTTGCAGCACAATCTGTGCCCTCATTTACCCATTCATACAGCACTGTACTATATCTCTACAAAGCTAATTGAACAAATCATTATAAAGAGACTAATCAGTGCTTTGAGATCACATTCATACACCGATAGGACACACATCGAAGGCAATGAGGGGTTCAGTGTCTTGCCCAGGGACACTTCATCATGTGACTGCTGTTGGATTTGAACCCCCAACTCTTGCATTGGATGACAACTGCTCTAACCCCTTTCCTGACCTTGTCCCTCTGACTCTCTCCCTGTTCAGACTTCATATCGAAGAGAGGGCAGTTACCACCACCAGGTATTACATTAAACTGCAGAGAATGGCTGTGTGGAGTCACTGACTGAACGAATGAATCATTGGCTGAATGATTTGATTGGTTTTCACATTCTTTCATGGCTGCTTTTTGCTCTACATGCTGCCTGTTGTCGTTGCTGGATAAATTCTTGCATGTGGCCGCTCTGCTGTTGATATGACTTATTTCCACCTGTCTCCTTGCTGGCAGGTCAATAGGAGGAAAGTTTTGGGGAAAGTGATGGCTTGTCAAACAAACCCAGTTTACATAAGGTTTACACTGTTGGGTTATGAGTGGAAGGACAATTAAAAGTGAATGAGCTCAGTTCTGTTGGGTAGAAGGAAGCCATGAATATAAATCCCCCCAAAAAGAGGCTTTAACACCCAAAATCTGAACCAGTCTGACTTTATTTATAAGCATCTGAACTAAAAAGACTCGAGCTTGATTTACCAACCAAGACGACCTCTTTGGTAGTGCCTCAAGATTTCATGACAGCTGCTTTATCCTCTAAAATAAAGCAATTCATTCCCACAGTGGCTCAGCAGGAACCCTAAGACCTCGAACCCTTTTCCACATCTTAAAAATATCTCCTCATAGCAGAACACCACCAGCCAGCAGATCAAAATGGTAATATTCTTTAAATGCTTAAAGAAGCCATTAGCGTGGGATTGCCGCTGTGATGCAGGATGTCTGTTCCTGCATCTGTGAGTTATTTTGGTCTCGACCTTCTCATCCCCCACCATCCCTTGAGATGCAAAGTGAGCTGAGAGAGATGGATGTAAAGATGGCGAGGCGGGACGTTTTTGGTGGGTAATGGAGCTGTTGTAAATCCAGAGCACATCCCGGTGTAAACATCCCACAAAATGTATACACATATTTGCTGATGTTTGTTATCCTGTCCTTAAAAAAATACATTTACATCTTCCGGCTCCGATGGTTTATTTGCTCCCATAAATGTTTGTAAACATTTAACACGAACGCTTGTTTTGTGTTTTGCAACAGAGGGCATCAAATATTAAAAAGAGTCTCAAAATACGAGGTTTCATAAGTGGAGCCGTGAGGCTACAATTACGTTTTTATCCACAGTGGTATTTACCCACTCCCAGGCCTGAGAAGTGGCATCTAAAAGCAAAGGAGATAAATATTTATTACACAGACATGGGAAAATAACAAACCTTATTAGAATGATAGAATATAGGTTGAAGCTATTTGAAAGTTTGTCTCGGAAACATTTTTAAATGTCAGCATGTATGCCAGTTGTTCGTAATCGTACCGAATTTAATGTTGTATCTTTTTTTTATTGGACTGTTTTTGTAACCTAAGAGTCTGAGATGTTTTAATCGGAGAGGATTAGATGCAGCTTTGTTTCTGCTTTTTTACCTAAAGCACACATGTTTTGATAACATAATCAGAAGGCTGTTGAGAAAAACCTTCCTGATAACGATTCCAGCTTAAGAGAAATGGACGTTTTGGCGTTTTGTGCAAAATGGATCATCCAAGGATAGTCCTCAAAATAAATTCCCTCACTGTGTTATCCTCTAACTGTGTCTTTGCTGAGCTGCAGTAAGAAAAATCTACCCAATAGTCAACTTGATATGAAGATCATTAAGTTAGAAGACACTTCACCCCCCAAAATGTTCCCCTAAATGTTGGGTTTAATTTTGGTTTAGAGAATTGTAATGAAGCTTGTCTAAAAGAGTTCCGCATGTTAAAGAATAAAAGTGTACATACAAAATATGGACTTCGGGCATATTTAGAATTGTACATAATTGCATTTGAGGGCTGCTGTAGCTCGGTGGTTTGTGCTGTGGTCTTGTGATCCGGAGGCTGCATGTTAGTTATGTTGTTTCTTTGTCATATGCAGGTTAACACAAGGTCAACAAAGCAATGAAATGTTCAGGATGCGACGAACCGGTTCGACACGCTAAAAACAAACAAACAAACAAGAAATACTAAAGCATGCAATAAGGGTACAAAATAAAGTACTAAAAAGTGAAAAAGAAATATAATATTCACAAAGGTCCAAAAGAAATATAGCAAACAACAACATGGCCGAATATAACGGTGCAAGTAGGATGGATTTGTATAAATAAGTATTTCACAGGTAGTAGTATAATCTTAAATGCGCATGATATATATTGCATATAACATTTACTACACAGGTTGTAGTATACAACAGCTTATTGCACAGGTAGTGAGTACCATTGAATTATGATGGTAATTTATTGATATACATGATGCAGCCACATAGTGCAGCAGCAATAAACATATTAGGTGTCACAGATGTAGCTTGGTGCAATGCTATTGTCAATTGTTCACTATTATTGAGTTCAGTAATCTGAGCTTGTGAGTACTGACTATCCGAGTCTTTTTGTGCACTATGGGAGGCTCCTGTATCGTCTGCCTGAGGGTAGTAGATGGAAGAGTCCTTGTGCTGGGTGGATGCGGTGATGCTGCGTGCTTTACGCAGACATCGGCTGCGGTAGATGTCCTGGATGGTGTGGAGACTGCTACCAGTGTTAGAGCCCAAGTTTCATCAGCAGGGGTTTAAAACAGAGGCCACATTTTTTGTGCTAGTTGTCCGGTTGTAAGGACCCCTGAAACAAAGAGCAGCTGAAAGAAAAACAATAAATTCTGCATTTGACTCGTTTTCCCCATTTTGCTAGCAAGAGCTGGAGAAACAAGAAATTAAACATTGCTCAAAACTTTTCTAAATTACTACTTTTTTTGTATAAGTGGATAAAAATATAGAATTTTATTTTTCAGTTCATGTAAAGAATTTGGGAATACATTAGGATTTGATTTATTTGTTTTTTGTTCTCACAGTATTGACTGCAGATTATCTCTGGGCATGGTGAAGTGACAATTTACAAATAAATAAATAAATAAATAAAAATCTTTCTTTTCCCTTTACATTGTCATCATTTGCTGCCGTGAAGCAAAAACATCTCATGAACCAATAGAGGACTTTAATGAAACTCCCAGAACATCATTGTTGGTTGTAAATCAGCAACTGTTCTTTTGAAAACAGCCTGATTCAAGATGGCCACCACAGCTATTTAACATTATCAAACACAATGATGGTGTTGACTCTGTCATTTTTCATATATAAAGCTAAAATGTAGTGTTGTAGTAGCTGAGAGCCATAACCTTCACATGCTCTGAGCTCTAACAGACTGTGCAGCATCTTTGTTTCAAACTTTGGCGGGCAAGGCTGCAAGCAATGTGCACACTCCTCCAAGAATTTCTACATTCATTCAAAAGGATAAAGCCATACTGCACAGCTACATTTTCGCCTACAGAGCATTACACTGTATGCTGACGATATGCAGCTGTTCATTTAACGATAATCCTGACTGGTGCTGAAACTAATTACGTGGTAATGCTAGTTGTAAAAATACTCCATGTCAGAAGCCAAGTGTCCTGTTAAAGCTATTTGAATCCTAAACACTATTGATCATAATAAAAGAGTCCATCAGTTTGATCTACTGAGTATCAGCCTGTGTTTGCATGCGTGTGCAAGTGTTCCACCTCTCGCAGCAATCAGTCACCATGCTCGACAAGCTGAAGCTTCTGATCAATACTGTGGTTTAGATTGAGTTTGCATGTGTATTTAAGTATTAAAGAGTGATTCTGCATTGTCTGGCTCACTTCATCAACGTGCCGCTCAGCTGGGACGTTCTTCAAAATGACTTTTTCTTCCTCCTTGTTGCTTTAGAAAAGCATGAAAGCCTCATATAGCTTGCTTTTTGAGGTACAATGAAGGTGGAATCAGCAAAAGTACAAGAAATCCATTTTTCATTTGTAAGGGGTTCAATACACATAGAATGCAGCAGCTGCCATTTACAGGACAGAAGGTGTTTTGCATTTTGCTGCAGCATTCTTTAACTCCGCTCCCAGGAGGATTTTATCTGCTCAGTGCATCCTTGTTGCAGATGTGCTTATTGCACTGTTTTTATGTACCGGGACTTTTTATGAAACATGAACTGTGTGGTTTAGTCTTGCTCTCTGCCCTGGAAGAGCTGAATTTAAATCAATATGGCCTCTCAGGAGAATAGAGCACATCTTGTCCATCTGCTGTACAACATCAAGCTGCAGTTGTTGAAGCTACAAGCTAAAATTAGACCAGGGCAGAAGCTTCAGCTTGATTGCAAAAGATAGAATATTCAGAGTCAAAGTCTTATCATGCAACATTTTTAAGTAAAAAAGAAAATAGTTGAGAGCTCATGTTGCCTTCATCTTCTCTCTTATCTGGAAGTATTTTAATTAAATATAAAGAAAACCACCATTAATTTTTGACAGACAGATCACAGGTTCAGGTGTTCCACGAACTCCATCTGCAGCCAACATTTTCATTAAACCTGGCTCCTCAGACAAGATTGAAGATTTGCTAAATCAACACACTGTTAGCGAGCACAGGAAGAGAGGAGGTGATGATGGGGGGAAAAGGAAGGGGGAGATCTAGAGAAGGACAGACCATTAAAAAGAAGAATGTGTCTGTTTTAATAAAGGACAGAGTTAATGACAGATCTTGAGCCAGGGCTCTAAAATACCAGTTGCGAAATGTCAGTCACACTCTTCAAGGTGACATCCCTTGGCCTTTGCTGTGAATCCATCCAGTCTTCATGGATAACAGCCAGTATCTGCCAGTGACTGAATAGTGAACTTTAGTGGCTTCAAACCATGCTGGGGATAAAATACTGAGGTATAAATATTTGATTCAATTTATGTACAATTTATCACGGCTCTAATTATTACCACTTTACAGTAAAAATATGCTGTAGACATTTAAAAGGTGGAACCAGTGTTATCACCAAGATTACATCTGCATACCGTACAATAACTGATAAATACTTACCTGAAGCAACACATTTAAGGGTTTGACAGCAAATAAACAAACAAACAACATCTAATTGCAGTTTATAGTGCAGCATTGTGGTGGTTTCAGGTATTTTGATAAGGAGAGAAGATACCGAAGGTCCCTTTGCTAAGAAATTTGATAAGC